ATAAATATAAATACATATATAGTTCGATATATATATATATATAATAAACTATATACATATATAAATATATATATATATATATATATATATATATAGTTAACATTGTGGTGGATTTTTGATATTATAGTCACAACTTCAGGGTAAATTTGTTCGTAGAATATCACCACAATATACCTGCGCCATTTTCTCCCAAGATAGCTATTTTTGATCCCAGCGTCAACTTAAGTGACACATCATTTAGTGTCGGTTTGCTGTCACCGGGGTAGGTATATCGCACCTTCTTCATCTTCATCACCACGCGAGTGCGACTTTGCACTCCATCCAGTAGTCCTAGTACGGCCATAAATATCAATTGGCGGGGGAAATAGTCAGAAATATATATAATATTCGACAGATGCGCTAATAGCTTGAGGCAACCCTTTCTTTACAGGTGATAGAAGGGGAATATATATATATGTGTGTGTATGTGTATGTACATATACATGTACATGTATATATATATATATATATATATATATAATTTATATATGCCTACACACTCGAAGTAGAAAGGGAGCGTGGGTCAAGGTCAGGGATCTCTTTATTTTGCAAGTCAACGGCTACTGAACACAAAAAAATGTTCTACCGAACTATGTGACTGTCACCCTTGCACGGATCGACTCACACGCACCTACCTATAAAATGTGAACAAACATATCTTCTACATAGACCTACACACACTATTTACCCATTTTCGTGACCATCCACAAATAAATATATCTATCTGCGTACACTATTTATCTACACACACTATGTACGTGCATATAATTTACCTATCTACATATACCCTTTACAATACATGACTACCCACATATATCTACCTACATGTGCCTACACACACTATGTACTCACATATATGACTACCCACATATATATCTACCTACGCATCTGGATCAGATACCCCGAATCGAGATTTGCCGTTTGAGCCCTCTACTCCTTTGACTTCCGCTATGGCGGTCATCTCACACAAGCGTTCTACAACACACTCTCCAAGATATACATCCACCTTCATAGCAACATACCTACCCCGGTATAAAGATAGATTATTCTACCTACACAAGGATCGGGGAACTTGAATTTAAAGCTACAACACACTGTACAAGATATACATCCACCCACATGGAAACATACCTACCCCGGTCGAAAAATACATTCTACCTACACACCTGGATTGGGGAACTTGAATTGAGGCCTGAAGTCGGGGTCTTCATCCTCGTCCTCCTTGGCAGCAGCTGCCTTGTCCTTGTTTGGTTTTTCGCCGTTGTTGTTAATGATATCAGGAGCACGCCTGGCACTAGCACCAACAACGGATGTAGGACCAATTGTGTTTGTACTGGCCTTGAATTTAGCTGTATGGTAAGGGATGTGTATAGGTGCATGGAGTTATGAGTATTAATACATGTGTGCTATAAGTATGCTTGTGGATGTGTGGTAATGGACACTAATATGAGTATATATATATATATATATGTATATATATATATATATATATATATATATATCTAATAGATATAGACATAGATATATATAGATATAAGATATAGATAAAGATATATAGATATATAGATATATAGCTATATCTATATATATAGCTCTCACGGTGTCTTGTACCTGGGGCGCTGAGCTGTTTCTGGGTGCGTTGGAATTGCTCGAAGTCTGAGTGGAAGTAGTACAGTTTCTTGCGGTTGACGAGAATGACATCCGACACCACCTTCTGCATGAATTCCTGTGAGGGTACGAATAAACGACAAACCGAACGTCGTAAATTCCGAGCATGTCGTAATTATGTATGCGGATGGGAAAATATTTCACACGTATTTGACAAGTACATACTTGACACATACCTGACACGTATTTGACGCATACTTGGCACATACATGACACATCTTTGACACAACTTGCCATATATTTGACATATATTTGACACATATATACTAAATATACACACACATAAGAATATAGAAACACGCTACACCCACACATAGCAATGTTAACATACGTGGTCGTGTGACCCTAATAGTGAGATGGGATAGTCTATCACATACACATAGTATTGTTAACATACGTGGTCGTGTGACACTAGTGGTGAGATGGGATAGTCTATCACATACATATAGTAATGTTAACATACGTGGTCGTGTGACACTAGTAACACAGTGGTCTCCTTGAGTGAGTTGAGATAGTCTGCGAGCCATTGCACTGCCTGGTGGTCCAAGTGATTGGTTGGTTCGTCCAGCAACAGCATATCGGCCTGATACAGCAGCGACCGAGCGAGAGCTAGCTTCATGCGCCACCCACCTGTTGGCCAATGAGAGAGAATAAGAGTTAAAAACTGGCCAATAGAATACGGGCAATGTTAAAAATAGCCAATAAAATACGAGCAATATGAAAATTGGCCAGTAAAGTACGAGACGTTTTGTAGTTGAATTGTCGATTCGTTGAGTAGTAACATATACAACTGCGACCGAGTATGCGCTACCGAGCTCTATGCCAATAGGATGGAAGGCATGTCAAAGATCAGCTAATCAGATACGAGCAATGTGTGAACTAACTATGCAACCAGTCGGCGTACCTAAGACGATCAGATCAGTCCAAGTGTGGGCGTACGCACGTATTTGTGAGTGAGGTGTCTCTCAGAATAGTTATAGTATGCGCACAGTACTATTAAAAAATACAAACTAATAATTTGTGTTTTAAATAAGTGTATTGACGAACTAATTAGTGATACAAACTAACCAAACTAATTGTGATTCGTACAATTAATACAAATCTGAAGGTATGTTCGCGTTTTTGTACCATCATCCCCGGCAGAGATGTGTGTGTGTGTGTGTGTGTGTGTGTGCGTGTGTGTGTGTGCGTGTGTGTGTGTGTATATGTATGTATGTATATGTATGTATGTATGTATTATAAACATATGTATGTATGTATGTATGTATGTGTGTATGTATGTATGTATGTATGTATGTATGTATGTATGTATGTATGTACGTGTGTGTGCACATATGCATATATATTATATATGATTTGTACCTGAAAGAGAGGACACAGGTGCTTGTAGCATGGTAGGGCTGAAGCCAACTGTTTCCAGAGCCTTCTGACAATCAGCTTTGGGCAACTTCTCTTCTTCAGTCAGAAAGTCCACCACGGGCGTTTCCTATTGTTTAGGGATGAATGTTAGGGTTTTAGGGTTTGGCGAGTAAGAGTGAGGTATGTCGGCAAACTAGTAAGCAACTTCTAAGTAGGATGACTACTACAAATACAATCCACAAACAACGCAAAGAATGACTATGTAATAATGTTACCACAATTGTGAGTACTTAACAAACCACCCTGTATAGCCTCCCGCTTCCCATAGATCTCATTCATTCACGCTAAACACATGTGACTTTACACCCATATCTCCATATATATATATATATATATATAAATATATATATAAACATATGTACTTTCAAAGTAATTCTTGCATACTACTCAATAGCACGAGACTGTATACCGGCCATACCTGATCTGTGAGAATTTCGTGCTTGACATAGACACATCGCAGATTCTGCGGAAAGCCAATGATATCGTTTCTGGCGAGACGTGTCATAAGTGTTGTCTTGCCCGCACCGTTGTGCCCTACTAATGCGTATCTGTATTGTCACGGCAACGTGTCACGAGATTTAAGTCAATTGAGCGTATCTGTGTTGGCATGGCAACGTATCACTATATATATATAAGCCATCCATATATATATATATATATAAGCCATCCATATTGTATTTCTACGTAAGCTCATTAAAGCATCATTGTTGTCACAGTCACACATGTACTCGCGGTAGAACTTTGACGTACTTATGACCCTGGAGAAAGCAGAGCCGCGTCTGATTGAGTAACATTTTCCCGCCGAAACCTATCAGAGATTAATAAGGAAACGGTAGGTAAGTTACAGACGATACTGTACTTGCAGACGATACTGTACCATCAGCAGTACTTTCCCCGCTAAAACTTAAACAGGCCGTATATGGTGGATGAGTCAGAATTGAACCAAAATGGTACTAGTGATAATACACAATAGATACACTGTCGTTGAAAACTGTACAACTACAGTCGCAGTACATGCCGAAGTAACTAAGTTTGCTCGTGCTACTTTGAAAGTAGGTCACACAAGTGAAACCCCATATATAGACACAGTCTATTTATATAATAGCTAAAAACCTGTTATATAACAGTTAGATAATAGCGATAGTCTAATCGTGTTAGCAAGACGTCCGGGTGCGGCAACACCACTGAAAACACTCCTAGCGACATGTGCACAGACACCCACAACGTCACAAAGCACTAGCCAAGGATGGTCTCAGGCATGTCTATACTACAAGTGCGTCGTACTGGCGATGATGTAGGTATTACATACATACCATTGCATTATACATACTATATTCCTAGATATAGATATGTACCTACACAACAACACATAAGCAACTAACCAAGGATGGTCTCAGGCAAGTCCATACTACAAGTGCGTCGTACTGGCGATGATGTAGGTATTACATACATACCATTGCATTATACATACTATACTCCCACATATAGGTATTACATACCTACCATTGCAATATACATACTATACTCCTAGATATAGGTATGTACCTACACAACAACACCTCATAAGCAACTAACCAAGGATGGTCTCAGGCATGTTCATACTACAAGTGCCTTGTACTTGCGATGGTGTGGGTATTAAATACATACCATTGCACAATACATATTACACTACTAGATGTATGTATGTACCACACAAAACCCCTTATAAGCAACTAACCAAGGATGATCTCAGGCAAGTCCACAATGTATTTGCCTTCATCCCCGTCTTCGGCATGTTCAGCGTCCGTCTCAGTGACTTTGAGCGCAGCAGTGAACTTATCGCAGAAGGCTTTAATCTAGTCGAAATATGGGCATATATAGATCACAGATGGATACGGGTTTTAAAATTTAGGGTTTTATCTTGGCCAGGCAGCGGTATGCTTCATACCCTGTACCCTGGTGACAAGTTGAGCATGCACGAATTTGTT